ATTTGTGTTTCATGCGAAATATCAGTGTATTTGGCCCCCGGCCGACTGGCAAATTTTTACTTTGGCCCTTGGAAGCAAAAGGTTTGGGCACCCCTGATATAGACACAGAGAGACACAGGTACATATAGACACAGAGACACAGGTACATATAGACACAGAGAGACACAGGTACATATAGACGCAGAGAAACACAGGTACATATAGACGCAGAGACACAGGTACATATAGACGCAGAGAAACACAGGTACATATAGACGCAGAGAAACACAGGTACATATAGACGCAGAGAAACACAGGTACATATAGACGCAGAGAGACACAGGTACATATAGACACAGAGAAACACAGGTACATATAGACACAGAGACACAGGTACATATAGACACAGAGACACAGGTACATATAGACACAGAGAGACACAGGTACATATAGACACAGAGAGACACAGGTACATATAGACACAGAGAGACACAGGTACATATAGACACAGAGAGACACAGGTACATATAGACGCAGAGAAACACAGGTACATATAGACACAGAGACACAGGTACATAGAGATGCAGAGAAACACAGCTACATATAGACGCACAGAGACACAGGTACATATAGACACACAGAGACACAGGTACATATAGACACAGAGACAAAGGTACATATAGACACAGAGACACAGGTACATATAGACGCAGAGAGACACAGGTACATATAGACGCAGAGAGAAACAGGTACATATAGACACAGAGACACAGGTACATATAGACACAGAGAGACACAGGTACATATAGACACAGAGAGACACAGGTACATATAGACACAGAGAGACACAGGTACATATAGACACAGAGAGACACAGGTACATATAGACACAGAGACACAGGTACATATAGACACAGGTACATATAGACAGAGACACAGGTACATATAGACGCAGAGAAACACAGGTACATATAGACACAGAGACACAGGTACATATAGACGCAGAGAGACACAGGTACATATAGACGCAGAGAGACACAGGTACATATAGACGCAGAGAGACACAGGTACATATAGACAGAGACACAGGTACATATAGACGCAGAGAAACACAGGTACATATAGACACAGAGACACAGGTACATATAGACGCAGAGAGACACAGGTACATATAGACGCAGAGAGACACAGGTACATATAGACGCAGAGAGACACAGGTACATATAGACGCAGAGAGACACAGGTACATATAGACGCAGAGAGACACAGGTACATATAGACACAGAGACACAGGTATATATAGACACAGAGACACAGGTACATATAGACACAGAGAAACACAGGTACATATAGACACAGAGACAAAGGTACACATAGACACACAGAGACACAGGTACATATAGACACACAGACACAGGTACATATAGACACAGAGAAACACAGGTACATATAGACACAGAGACACAGGTACATATAGACACAGAGAAACACAGGTACATATAGACGCAGAGAGACACAGGTACATATAGACACAGAGACACAGGTACATATAGACACAGAGACACAGGTACATATAGACGCAGAGAGACACAGGTACATATAGACACAGAGACACAGGTACATATAGACGCACAGAGACACAGGTACATATAGACACAGAGACACAGGTACATATAGACGCAGAGAGACACAGGTACATATAGACACAGAGACACAGGTACATATAGACACAGAGACACAGGTACATATAGACGCAGAGAGACACAGGTACATATAGACGCAGAGAGACACAGGTACATATAGACACAGAGACACAGGTACATATAGACACAGAGACACAGGTACATATAGACACAGAGAGACACAGGTACATATAGATGGAGAAAAGATTGAAAAATTGCCATCTCAACTTTTGTAAATCTCACTTATGGCATTTACACTACTTCACACGTCGTTGGGCGGCACAGTGGCTGAGTGGTTAGCATTCTCTCTTCTCAGCAAGAAGGTCCTGGGTTCGAATCCTGGCCTCTCTGAGTGGAGTTTGCACGTTCTTCCTGTGTCTGTGTAAGTTACCTCCGGGTGCTCTGGGTTCTGCCTACCACTAAAAACATGTACAATAGGTCTGGTAATGAGTGAGTGAATGGAGGGTGTTTGGTCGGAGGCTTTGATGGTCCAGTGTGTTCCATCATCACCGTGTGGAGAGAATGGAACAACATCTGAACATTGTAAAGTGCTTTGGTCACCTTGGAATGTGGAATGTGCTATATAGATAAATATTACCACTTACTACATAAACTGTGGTGCAGAGAAGACTGGGCGGCAGTCGAAGGCGGCCCAGTCCGCACACACAACATCTGGCTCTAGGGACGTGGAACGTCACCTCACTGGGGGGAAAGGAGCCCGAGCTCGTGGGGGAGGTTGAGCGATACCGACTAGAGATAGTCGGCCTCACCTCCACACACAGCTTGGGCTCTGGAACCCAACTCCTTGAGAGGGGTTGGACGCTCCACTTTTCTGGTGTTTCCCGCGGGGAGAGGCGCCGAGCTGGGGTGGCCATTCTCATTGACCCCCATCTCGGCCGCCACGTGTTGGAGTTCTCCCCGGTGAATGAGAGGGTCGCATCCCTCCGCCTCCGGGTGGGGGACAAGTCTCTCACTGTTGTGACGGCCTACGGGCCTAACGGTAGTGCAGAGTACCCGGCCTTCTTGGAGTCCTTGGGAGGGGTACTGGACAGTGCACCGCCCGGGGACTCCGTTATTCTCCTGGGGGACTTCAACGCCCATGTGGGAAATGCCAGTGACACTTGGAGAGGGGTGATCGGGAAGAACGGCCCCCCTGATCTGAACCCGAGCGGTGTTCAGTTGTTGGACTTCTGTGCCAGTCACGGTTTGTCCATCACGAACACCATGTTCGAGCACAAGGGTGTCCACCAGTGCACGTGGCACCAGGACACCCTAGGCCGGAGGTCGATGATCGACTTTGTTGTCGTATCATCTGACCTTAGACCGCGTGTCTCGGACACTCGGGTGAAGAGAGGGGCGGAGCTGTCAACCGATCACCACCTGGTCGTGAGTTGGATCCGCTGGCAGGGGAGGAAGCCGGTCAGACCTGGCAGGCCCAAGCGTGTAGTGAGGGTCTGCTGGGAACGTCTCGCTGAGCTTGGCCTGCCGGTGTCCAGTATCGGCAGGCCAAGCGTGCCGCGGCCCGGGCTGTTGCAGAGGCAAAAACCCGGGACTGGGAGGAGTTCGGGGAGTCCATGGAGCATGACTATCGGTCGGCCTCAAAGAGATTCTGGCAAACCGTCCGGCGCCTCAGGAGGGGGAAGCAGTGCTTTGCCAACACTGTGTATGGTGCGGGTGGAGAGCTGCTGACCTCGGCTGGGGATATTGTCGGGCGGTGGAAGGAATACTTCGAGGTTCTCCTCAATCCCCCCGTCACGTCCTCCGTCCCGGAGGCAGAGGCTGAGGATGTTGGTGGCAAGGCGCCGGGAGTGGATGAGATCCGTCCTGACTATCTAAAGTTTCTGGATGTTGTAGGACTGTCTTGGCTGACACGTCTCTGCAACATTGCGTGGCGATCGGGGGCGGTGCCAATGGAGTGGCAGACCGGGGTGGTGGTCCCTCTCTACAAGAAGGGGGACCGGAGGGTGTGTTCCAATTATCGTGGGATCACACTCCTCAGCCTCCCCGGTAAGGTCTACTCCAAGGTACTGGAGAGGAGGCTACGGCCGATGGTCGAATCTCGGATTCAGGAGGAGCAGTGTGGTTTTCGTCCCGGTCGCGGAACACTGGACCAGCTCAATACTCTCCATCGGATACTCGAGGGTTCATGGGAGTTCGCCCAACCTGTCCACATGTGCTTTGTGAATTTGGAGAAGGCGTTCGACCGTGTTCCCCGGGGTGTCCTTTGGGGGGCTCTCCGGGAGTATGGGGTCCGGGGTCCTCTGCTGAGGGCTGTTCGGTCCCTGTATGACCGGAGCCAGAGCAGTGTTCGCATTGCCGGCAGTAAGTCAGACCTGTTCCCGGTGCATGTTGGCCTCCGCCAGGGCTGCCCTTTGTCACCGGTTCTGTTCACTGTGTTTATGGACAGAATTTCTAGGCGCAGCCAGGGGTCGGAGGGGGTCCGGTTCGGGGACCTAAGGATTTCATCCCTGCTTTTTGCGGATGATGTTGTCCTGTTGGTTCCAACGAACCAGGACCTGCAGCATGCACTGGGACGGTTTGCAGCCGAGTGTGAAGCGGCTGGGATGAGAATCAGCACCTCCAAATCCGAGGCCATGGTGCTTGACCGGAAAAAGGTGCTTTGCCCTCTGCAGGTGGGTGGAGAGGTCCGTCCTCAAGTGGAGGAGTTCAAGTATCTCGGGGTCTTGTTCACGAGTGAGGGAAGGATGGAGCGTGAGATTGACAGGCGGATCGGTGCAGCGTGCGCAGTGATGCGGTCGCTGTATCGGACCGTTGTGGTAAAGAGGGAGCTGAGCCGAAAGGCAAAGCTCTCGATTTACCGGTCAATCTTCGTTCCCTCCCTCACCTATGGTCATGAGCTTTGGGTAATGACCGAAAGAACGAGATCGCGGATACAAGCGGTCGAAATGAGCTTCCTCCGCAGAGTGGCTGGGCGCTCCCTTAGAGATAGGGTGAGGAGCTCAGTCACACGGGAGGAGCTCGGAGTAGAACCGCTGCTACTCCACGTCGAGAGGAACCAGTTGAGGTGGCTCGGGCATCTGTTCCGGATGCCTCCTGGACGCCTCCCTGGGGATGTGTTCCGGGCACGTCCCACCGGGAGGAGGCCCCGGGGAAGACCCAGGACACGCTGGAGGGACTATGTCTCTCAGCTGGCCTGGGAACGCCTTGGGGTCCCCCCCGGACGAGCTGGAGGAAGTGTGTGTGGATAGGGAAGTCTGGGCGTCTCTGCTTAGACTGCTGCCCCCGCGACCCGGCAACGGATGAAGCGGAAGAAAATGGATGGACTTACTACATACTTGTTCTTTTACATTAGCGAGACAGGATGGTAATGGCAGCGTGTCACAGCAGGAGACACAGCAGGAGACACAGCAGGAGACACAGCAGGAGACACAGCAGGAGACACAGCAGGAGACACAGCAGGTCACCAAACTGCTGGACCAGGACAGACAGAATGAAAGCGGGAGGCAGCAGTCACTTAATCCTTCCAAACCAGACATTTATTTATGGAACATTTTAAATGGGTTGCAAACTGCTAAACTACGACTGTTTTAGAAAGAAGAAGAAAATCCCACTACATTACCTGAAACGTTTTTATCCATCCATCCAGAAAGAGAGAATCATGTAATAATTACTGTTTAATTACTGTTATAATAGTAATATAACTCATATTTGGAAATAGTTGAATACGTCTTCTACAGTCATCTTGAATCACTTGAATTCAAAACTCCATTGTCCCTGATTCACAACATTTTGAAGAAAACATTACAACAAAAATGTCTGTAATGTTCTTAACCAAACAATCAACATGACGCAAAACATCTTTTTAGACTCCCATAAAAGTGAAATCTCAATGAAACTCTTGAACTATGAATCCACAGAAAACGCCGAGAGCCCTCAGGGAGCAGCAGAGAGCTTTTTTGCATGTTCTTTGTGGTCGGCGGTTTTCTAAGTGTTTCAATTCGAGCCGGCCCGTCGCATTTCTCCACACTGCTCCCTCCTTCTCTTCCCTCTGGTCCCATAAAACACAGCCTGCATTACATGGCACATCAAGCCGGACATTCACATCACCATTGTGGGGCAAAGGAGCTGACACTTCTGGGATGACTCGGCTCGGCACAGAGAGTAAAAGTACGACCGGGAGTCACAAGAAACCCAACAACACATGATGTACAGAGACAATTATAGCATGAAAGAACAAGAAGAGATTAGAAAACCACTTTATGCTTTTGTACAGTGTAATTATGAACTATTAGGAGCATGTCTGTGGGAGCTGAAAATCTTATTGTTTTTGTAATGTGCTACTGTGTTTAAGTAAATCTACTCTTTAAAGTGCTGCGCAGAAGTAAGCTATAAAAGAAATCATTCAAAACATCAACTCAAATTAAGTATTAGTGCAATCAATATTGAGCGGAATGAGAATAAAAGGTGTTTAATTAAAATAGAAAGAATAGAATTAATGTACTTGTGATAAAAAAAACCATGCGTTTCCTTTAATCTCTCCCCATGTTTCAAATGCCAGGCAGGTTCTTAGCATTTTCCAGCCCGTTGGAATAAAGTGCAGCTCCCGGAGGGTTCAGTGTGATCCCGGAGAAAGAGAGAGAGAGGGAGGGAGCCGCTGAAGGGCCAGAGAGGGAGAGGGAGAGCGATTGTCGTCTGTGAGAGAGAGAGAGAGAGAGAGAGGGAGAGAGAAAACGATTTGATTTTTAACAGACCTTTATTTGTCCGTTAAACAGGTTATATTACATTACATATTACACATTGTAATGTATAGGAAAAACACAGTTTAAAAATCTGGACATAAAAGTGCAAAAAGTGCAAATACTGGCAATAAATAAACAATGCAACACTTCACACACTTCAATTCATAGGTTTACAACGATAAAAATGCAGAAAAAAACAGCTCCCCGTCCCTCACAGAGCACACCTCCCTGAAGCCCCAGGCCGGGCTGAAGGCGGGGCCCAGGTGTGACCTCCACACAGTGTCTGCTCGGTCACACAGTCTCTGGTGATTCAGGGCCTGGACCATGAGGCTGTAAAAGGTCTTCCCTGAAGCAGCCTTCAGAGAGGCAGCTACTGGACTGGCCAGCAGGGGCCCAGAGGAGGAGCCCAGGTCCGGGCTGAGGATGAGACTGGGGAAGGGGTCAGTGGGGTCAGGGGTCAGTGAGCCTGACCTGTGTCCCTCTAACAGAGTCCAGTCCTCCTCTGTCAGACCCTCTCTCCAGAAACACAGGAGACGCTCCAGGGTCCGACCCGGCCTCAGGCCCAGGTGGACTCCCAGGGCCTCCCAGTCCTCCAGCTGAGGACCACTGACGTCTCGGAGCTGCTGCACCGAGACTTCCCCCCCCCCCGAACTGAAACGGCCCTGCAGCACAGGCCCCGCCCAGGCAGGAAACTCCAGAGGCCGCTGTAGGAGCCAGTGCAGAGAGGAGCTCTGCCTCTGCCTCTTCACTCTGCTCCACACCGAGAACAGCCCACAGTAGAAGGACGGGAGTCCAGCTGGTGTGTGGTCCCTGAGGAACCCTGGGAGCCCCAGTCCCCCCGCCCTCTGCAGGATGGAGACTGCCAATGGTCTCCACAGCAGCTCCTCTGGCCCAGCTAACAGTCTCTGTAGAAACTGCAGCCTAAAGGCAGCTCCTCGGCTGGCCAGATGGACCAGACCCTGGCCTCCCTGCTCCTTCGGCAGAGACAGCACTGCCTGGGGGACCCAGTGCAGCTTGTCCCAGAAGAAATCTGAGATCAGTCTCTGGATCTGTGAGAGTAAAGAGGGAGGTGGGTCTGTGCTCTGCAGCTTGTGCCACAGAGCGGAGGACACCAGGTTGTTGGCAACGAGGACCCTCCC